GGCCTCCTGATGCCTGCCCACCTCATTCTATATACCATCCAGTATTGCGCGGTATCCAGCACGGCCGCAGTGAGCATCAGCAGCGAGACAGGTGCCAGCCTTTTCGACGTGACTGGCCCGTTCTGCTCAGCAGGAAGCAGTGGCGCTCCAGCCCACCCCTTGTCTACACAGAGCTCACACATGCACACTTGCACACTTGTGCCGGTCACAGGGAGATGCAGGGGCGGGCCGGAGGCACTGTGGTTACGCTGCGGCCGTACAATGGTGACAATGAATAACACCTTTTATTTGGTGTGTGGAAGGTGTGCGGAAGAAGGAGTAGTCTTATACGGCAAGTATATAACAAGCTATATTTTGAGTGGAAATGTTGGGGGGTCGTCTTATATGCCCAGTCGTCTTATATGCTGGCAAATACGGTACCTGGTTTACTCTCTGAAATGTCCAGTTAAAAATATTTGAAAAATATTTGAGGTCCATGAAACAGAGATGCCACAAAACTTTCCCCAGAATAGACCATGTTCAGCTAGAAGGGAAAAAAATAGTTCCAGCTAATCATAAGGTTTTCATACTCTTTTGTTTGCCAGTATATATTGGCTGGTTTACTCTCTGAAATGTCCAGTTAAAAATATTTGAAAAATATTTGAGGTCCATGAAACCCTTTTGCCACAAAACTTTCCCCAGAATAGACCATGTTCAGCTAGAAGGGAAAAAAATAGTTCCAGCTAATCATAAGGTTTTCATACTCTTTTGTTTGCCAGTATATATTGGATTCTTGGTTTTAATTGAGAAATGAGAGGAGAGATAAGAGATGATTTGCATAACTTCAAAGTGGAGTGGTAATTATAATTATTTTGTTTTATTGTTTTCACCACTTTTCTCCTGTTCTGCAGTCAGTTACCCCTTCTGGTTTTCGAGTGGGCATGAAGCTAGAGGCAGTGGACAAAAAGAACCCTTCGTTAATGTGTGTTGCAACTATTGCAGATATGCTGGATAATCGGCTGCTGGTACATTTTGACAACTGGGGGGAAAGTTATGATTACTGGTAAGAAGAAAATATATTCCCATTATATCCAACTAAAGTGGTGCTTGGTGGTAGTGAGTATGGTCCAAAAACTGGATAGTGAAGAGTAATCTGAAGTCAATGGAGAAAGGATGTTTTGAACAGTTTTGTATTTATATTCCTCTGGGCTAATTCACTTCTTATTTGTCTGACCACAGGCAAATATATCCTGCTGAGATTTGTCCAATTTTCCTTTCCTTCTCATTAAATATGTTTGGACAATATTGTTCATCTGTGAACTCATATTCCTGTGAACACAGTCCTTCCTTTGAAACTTACACATGCCTTTTGCTTATATATATATTTAAAGTTATTATACAAGTTGGTTTTTGGGTTTTGCATTTTATTGCAGTTCTAAGTCACTGTGTCATGGATGTTATAGATCAAAGGACAGTGTATATATAGTAAGAATTACGTGCCATCAAGTCAGTTCTGACTTACAGCAACCCTTTACGGAGTTTTGTAGATTTAGAGTGCACATATGGAGTCTGCTAATCTCTTCTGAGATCACTCTGGGAATGTGCAGCTTGTCTAAAGGTACATGGCCTGGATTTTCTCCCAGAAGGCATAGTAGGGAATTGAACTCTAGCTAGGCGCCCCATCCACTGAGCTAACTAGCCAGATGGAGTATATATAAAGTAAGTAAAATAAATATATAGTCAAAATTTTAAAAAGCCCATAGGAATGCATTGAAACTCCTTCAATGCGTTCCTATGGGTTTAAAACTCACCTTAAAGCGAAAATTCTCCATACGGCTGCCATTTTCGCTGCCTGGTAAGCGAGGAATCGGCGTGAAAACGCAGCAGCCGGCCGTTTTGTTTACCCGGTGGCCATTTTGGAACCGCTGATCAGCTGTTAAAAAATCATCGCTTTGCGATGATCAGTAAGCGAAACAGGGAACATCGCAAAAGCGATTGCAAAATCTTCATCGCTGTGTGGTTTTGTTGTTAAATGGGGCGCCCATTAAGCGAGGCACCACTGTACATAAAATTTCTTTTTGTCTGGGAGGGGTCAGAAAAGGACCGTACAAAGATACAGCAGCCTCCAGCACAAGTTAGGGGTTATAATCTGTTTCAGTCACCAGGTAGGAGCAGCCAGGTGTCCAAAATTGAAGCCAATTCACGTTTTTGCCTGGTGAGCATAAGAAGAAGAAAAAGTATTCTTTGTCAGTGTCTTTATACATTCAAGCCAAATGTTGTATGCCTGCACATGATTCACCCTTCAGAACATACCAGATGGAGAGTGAAAATTTTGGCAGTAAACTTGCCTCTCCCATCTACACTGCATATGCTAGTGCTTAGTCTCCCAGTTCCATACATTCAGACAACACAACAACAATTTAGCTGCCAAGAGATGCCAGAGAGAGGAGGAAGGGTGCATGATGTGCATGTATAAATGGACACTTGAAGAAGAAAAATTATAGGTGAGCAACCTGTTTTTCTTCATTCAAGTCAGGTAGTTTATTATTCACATAGTTGCATTTCTTGACCTGTTCAGTGCAATTGGAAGCAATGCTCTCTGTTTTACTGCAGGTGTGATGCTAGTAGTCCATATATTCGACCTGTTGGTTATTGCCAAGAAACAGGAACTCCTCTAACAACACCAGCTGGTATGTTTAAAGTACACAGATTTTCTGCTGAAATAACATAGAATAAAATTTGCCAATTTTGATCTGTGTCTGATTGGAATTCACATATTGTGAGATGTGTTTCAGTTGAGTCACATAAATTCTGGAAAGAAGTAAAGTGAACATAAGAGGAATTAAGCCTTGTAGTGCACTGTCCTGGGCTAAAGGAAACTGAATGTTTGAGATTTCCATATTGTCGGAGGCTCCCTGCAGTCCTTGGCAATATTTGAAAGTCATCTAGACTATTTTGTGTAGCGGAAAAGAACAGGAAACTGGTTAGCCAAATTGTTCAAGCTAGTTATCAAGCTACTACATTCCAAGACCTATAATATCTCCTATGGAGTGCAAGGAGTCATTTTTGTAAAGCCCAAACCTCAACTACATCCTTATATGCTCATATAGGGCCTTATAACCCTCAAATAAGTCAGTGTGCAGTTTGAAGAGCGAGTGCTCTGGCATGGACAGTGTTAAATGAATTTAAATTACAGGCTGCCTAGTGGTAAAAGAAAGGTTCTTGGAAGGTTGGCGACCCAGTTCAGAAATGTTCACCTTTGCTTCTGGGATCAGCCTTCTCTTGTTCTGCCTGGATTGTCTCTGGGGTTTCCCCTCTGGTGGACTTGTGGAGAGACCCCCATCTCAAAGACAGAAGGCCACTGTCTCCGTTTCATAGTCCATGGGCTTCTGTCTGTGTCACCACACATGTTTGAAGGATGCTTTTTTGATCCTGTGTACAATTCTTCACCAGTATTTACTTGTGACACTGTTAGTTTGAACTTTGATTAATTTCTAAATGGGTCACATTGTATAACCAAGGTGAATCATTAAGATTCCCTTTATATCTAAGAGATCTGAAAAGAAAATACCAGTTATTATAATCAAAGTCCTACATTGTTCCACATCATGAGAGTGCACAATTCAGTTATTTCCATGTTACTGCTAGAGAACAGTTTTCCATTTCTGAATAATCATATATTCTGACTTGGAAAGTTTTAGATGTACAGAGGATATTTTAAAAGCCATATTTTAAAAAACTATGTAGTTTAGACTGTTTTACTGTGGTGTGTGCTACTTAAGAACATTTTCAGAGACTGAAGGAGCAATTAATACTCAGTGATGCAGATGGGTAGCAGTGGGAAGCCTTTTCAGTAGGAACATTGGTGATGTTAGTTTAGTCATTAATTGCTGCTGTATTTGAGATCCAGCTGTGTAGCTTATTGTGCAACAAAGGGATGAAGTGTCCTGGCTTCTCCATATCATGAACTCCTTATCTGTTGGCTGCTTTTGGCTTGAGTATTCCCTCTTTTGGCTTGTACACTCCCTCCTTTTCCTTGATGTTTCCCTTCTGTAGTGCAGTCTTCAGTGAAAGTGAGGAATGTGAAGTGTATAAGAAAGGAAAATAATGCAATTATTATTACTATTACTATTACAGTACTATTATTACTATGATGATGATCATGATCATGATCATGATCATGATGATGTCTCAAAAATCCCAGGTTCACTTAATCACAAGTTGTCTTTATATATGACCCAGTCCTGACACAAATCTGCATCATGAAAAATCACTCTAACTTTGTATGTACAGTGGTGTCTCGTTAGATGATGATAATCCGTTCCACTGAAATCGCTCTTTAGTGAAATTATTGTCTAGCGAAAAGCATTACCCCATTGGAATGCATTGAAACCTGTTTAATGCATTCCAATGGGGAAGAGCCATCATTGTCTAGCGAAGATCGGCCATAGGAAAGCCGCTTTGCGAACCACCGATCAGCTGTTTAAATTGCTGTCTTGCAAAGCTTAGTTCCCGAAAATACCTGTTTGCAAGCACAAAGGGAGCTGTCAAAATCATCATCTAGTGAAAATCGGTTTGCGAAGCAGGGACCAAACATTGTCCAGCAAAATTCCCCCATAGGAATCACTGTTTTGCGAATCGCTATAGCAATCGCAAAAAGCCAATGTCTAGCAAAAAAACTCATTGGGGGTAACTGTCTAGTGAGGCACCACTATATTGGGACAATAAGAAAATAGTTTCATGTTCCATGTCTATGTGTTATTGTGACCTTTGGCCAGATGGCTGGTATAAAAATCAGACAAATAATATTTGGTTAATTTGAACCTAGTGTAGCTAAATACTGTGTATATTCTCAAATCTCTTTGCAGAATACAAAGATTTCAAAACCTTTTCATGGGAAAAATATTTGGAAGAAACTGGTTCTCAAGCAGCACCAGCAAGAGCATTTAAATTGGTATGTCAATACTTCTCTGGTTTTATATTGATGAATCACAGCCATTAAAACTGTAATTCTGTTTTTATAGCTCTTAGCTATAGGCACTATCCTTGTCCTCCTCATCAACGGTTTGTTAAAGAACAAGTAGAATTGTTAGACTACAGTTGCAAATACATCTGCTTAGCTGGCCTACTTGTACGTGTATATGTACATTGGATTCTGCCATTAGTGACTGCAAATACAGTGATGATGTAGATTAATTAGTATGTTAAAAATTTAATCTTGTGAATAGGATTTAGCTTGGTTTGGATTTAATACCCAACTACAGTTTAGGAGGGTTTTTTTTTAAAGAAATAAAGCAACTTGAGCACCTCCTCCTTCTTTAGCATATGTGAGAGGAGATTGGAAGCATGTACTTCTTGCTTTAAACTAATATTAGTTTGTTGTAACAGTCAAGCTTGGCATTGTGATGACTTTAAAGGCCTGTTTCAGATGCAATTACAAAACAAGTTTATATTTAAATTGGAAGCAGAAGCTTGAGCAAGCCTATTCTTGCCTTAATGTTTTGTCCACAGTAGGCTTTTAAGTGATACATGGATAGCTACTTCAGTATCAGTAATGTTTGTTTCCATTTGCAATACATTCTGTTACAGCGTCCAGCTCATGGATTTCAACCTAACATGAAACTAGAGTCTGTAGACAAAAGAAACCCCATGTTAATTAGAGTGGCAACTATAATAGATAAAGATGACTATCGTGTCAAGGTATGTGCCTCATTCAGATAAGCCATAACACTACTGAAATTCAGTTTATTGTGTTTAGAAAGCATGCACTTTCAGCAGTAAAATGGCAATGTAATCTTATTCCCATTTGAATTGCAACATTCCAGTTCATTATTGGTGGATGCTGTGCTAATGTTGCTTACTGTGGAATGACATTTGCTGAATTGATTTTTCTTCCCCTTGACCATTTTTTTCTGTGAATCTTACATAATTTAGTCATGTTAAAGTTCCTATATCTTGAGGGTGACTCATAAAGAGAAACTCCACATCAAGTTAACTTAAACTTTTCTGCTGAATTGGTCTATCTGCCATCTTAAAATAATCACATCAGCATATCAGTGTTGTATTCAAGTTATTGAAAAATGAAAGTTTGTCAGCTAGCGAGGTTGAAAATGAAATAAAATATTTCTCCTTTCATAGAACAGATGAGCCAAAAGTGAATTTTCCCCAGTGCTCTTTAGTAGTTTCCTTCAATTGTAATCCAGCGGATTCAATTTAGAATATAAGAGCCCTCTTAATGAATCAAAGCAGTGGTCCATATACACAAGTATTCTGTCTCTGGAAGTGCCTAGCTCAAGATGTGGTGGAAAGATTATACAAGAGACTATGAAACTAACATACCATGCCATTCATTCTTAACTTGTAGCAGTCCACAGTTGGATGTAACATGCAGCATTGACAGCTAAAGAGTTTCCAGCTATATCTTTCTTAACCTATCATACTCATCATTTTAGTAAAGAAAATTAGCTCAGGTTACCATGTTTCCCTGAAAAATAAGACAGGGTCTTTCATTAATTTTTGCTCCAAAAACATATTAGGGCTTATTTTCAGGGGATGTTTTATTTTTTTATTTTTTATTTACAACAATCTACACTTATTCAAATGCAGCCATGTCATCATCTTCTGGTTGCTGCACGATGGTGGAGGGCGGGCTTTTGCTTAACTGGGGCTTATTTTTGGAGTAGGGTTTATATTACGATCATCCTGAAAATCATACTAGGTTTTATTTTTGGGGAAACAGGGTAGTTAACACAGCACTTTCTATCTGACCTAAAATAAACAATGGACAGAACCCTATCACTTGTTTTGCTAACTAAAGGGCAGAGAAACAATATAAAATATAGGTGTATGATAAATATAAACAGTTATGTGAAAAAGAAACTACATTCTCTTTGAATTCTATGGCTTTATGTATTAGGACATCATAATCTAGTCCTTAGGAGGTCTGAAAATTAGATAATTATGTTTATTTATTAGCATAAAATAGTCTAAGCAAAAAGATTGTGTTAGCTGTCATTCCAGAGGAGTAATGTTTGAACAGGAGCTGTTCAAAGAGTTTTCTCATGTCTTTAATGTTCTCTTTCTCCTCTCTTTCATGCATTTTCCCTCTTCTTCAGATACACTTTGATGGCTGGGACCATAGTTTTGACTTTTGGATTGATGCAGATAGTCCAGATATACACCCTATGGGGTGGTGTGCGAAAACTGGACATGCCTTGCAGCTCCCACCAGGTAAGAGGAAAAATAATGGCATCTTTCTCCCATATCCAATTATTTCAAACAAGACTTCAAACTGAAATGTATTCCTGAACATGTTTTTTCTTTTCTAGGTACAGTGGATCCATCCACTGCAGTGGGACAAGGATGCCCTACTCCTTGTTGTCTGGGATTGGGTCATGTTAGGGGACCCAGATACGGAACACATTACACGTATGTTTATCTAAGACTTGTGGGGTTGCTCCTAGTGGATTTGAAGGGCTTTGTTTATCAGTTTCCTAGCAACAGTTTTTCAGATAATGCAGGTTCAGTGAACTATGAATATAAATGTATGACTTAGTTCTAAAATTGTGTGCTTGTAGCTCCCTCTTCTGCTTTGTACTTGGCTTCACTGACAAGTGTAATACTGGCTCCACAGGGGAAAAAATAGTCTCAAAGTGTGGTTACTATTATGGCTACTCACAAAAGTGTGTGTGCGTGCATTGTGTGCATGCAGTGTGTGTGTGTGTGTGTGTGTGTGTGTGTGTGTGTGTGTGTGTTGCATCCAGAAACCATTGATTCTAGCCTGCAATACTTGACAAACCCAGATACACAATTTACTCATACACAGGTGAGCACACATGCAAAAATGATTCAAAATAAAATAAGCACACCCCAGCGGATTTTTTTTTAATTGCTTTCTCAACAAAAAGACAGCAAAGAAAGTGTGCTTATACATAATGTAAATGAATATTTTTAAATTTATTTCAGTCATGCTAAACCTGATGCAAACTCATATAATCATCATCATCATCACCATCATAGATGGGGTATTCATATACAAATACGAATATCTCTGCGCAGCTGGAGTTAACGAGTATCTGGCCCCTGGGGCCAGACCATCCACTCACATGTCTGCTGCCACTGCTGGCCCCACTCATCTTTCCAATCTCTTCGTGGTCATCTAGCCACTCTTGGAAGAGGGAGGGAAGACGAGTCTCCCTGCAAGTCTGCCGAGTGGTTAGCCGAGCAGCACTCCAGAGCAAATGGAAGGAAGGGAGGGGCCACTGCTGCCGCTGGACATTTGAGTGGACAGTCTGGCTCCAGGGGCTAGAAGCTTGTTAATGCCAGCTGCATTGGGGATATTCATATATGAATACAAATACCCCCATCTCTAACAATAATCTTAGAACTGCATGTATAATGCAGGGACAGTCTCCTAGAGTTTTCTAGGCATGAAAACAGGCAACACTATGGATTTTGCAGATAAAACAATGGCTGCACCCTGAGGCTCTGTAGTGCACATATTATTTATGTTTATTATTTATATATATATCTAGGTGCAGAAATCTAAAGCAGAATTTCATGCAGATTCTTTTGAGTGGCTAACATTGTGGCTTCTGCTTCATTTTCCCCTAAAAAAGGAGAAATGTATTTATTTCTCATAAATGGTTGGATTCATAAAGGCTCCAAAGTGATCTTCTCTTACTCTTGCCACTTCAGATTGCAAATTGGCATGTTTCCCCAAGTCAAAAACAAAGATAAAAAGTATTTGCGAAGGCTTTCACGAAGGCTTTCACGGCTGGGATCTAATGGTTGTTCTGGTTTTTTCGGGCTCTTTGGTCGTGTTCTGAAGGTTGTTCTTCCTAACGTTTCACCAGTCTCTGTGGCCGCATCTTCAGAGGACAGCACTCTGTGCTCTGGAGGATTGCTGTCCTCTGAAGATGCTGGCACAGAGACTGGTGGAATGTTAGGAAGATAAAAAGTGTTTGTTTTCATTTTCAGCAGACATTCTGCCTTGGCCTGCTACCTTATCATGTACAGAAAGCTGTTTATTGGGGTTGGGGAAGGTGTTCAGAAACAGTTCATACAAGATCAGCATTATTCCATTATTTAGTTCACTTATTTGTATGAACCTCATAGCAAAACTCTGTGAGTGGAATTAAATTAAAACCTCCCTGAAATAGAAAGGATTTTGCCAGCCGGTGGAAAGCAAGTAGGGAAGAGTGCCTGGTGAACTTCCCTTTTATATTAAAGCAGCAAGGTTGCTGAATGTTTCAGCACCTGAGAGAACTCCAAGGAATATCCTTAGACCACATCAGCCCTCCTGTGCTCTAGTCTGAAGCTCACTCAGATTCTACTCTTCCTACAATGTACAAAGCCTGAATGGGAAAAGCCTTTTGCTCAAGAGCTGACGTCAGGGGTTCTCTGGAATAGCTTCATGGCTTGTGGAGCTTTTAGAAAGGGCAGGGTTAGCGCAAACCTCAAGCAGGGGCTGTTGATCCAGGCTCAGAATCTTAGGTCTAGACTTGAGGACTTTCAATCTTACTATTCTCTACACTTCTGCTTTCTGATTAAATTTCTGACAATTTATTACCTGTCCCAGATAGCTATGTTCTTATGAATATTCTGTATGATAGCCATCATATGTAACATTTCTATTTTCCTCTTAATTGGACATTACTTTCTTCTTTTCAGTTTTAAACCAATTTTGTCTCATTCACTTTTCAGTTCTTCCAACATACCTCATAAGTCATCATCATTATCTCTGGTGACATAATATGGAATGATACTGCTGCTGAGGGTTAGGGAAATGTAGGAGAAGAGTTGTTTCTTCAAATAAGCAGGTCTAGATTTTGGAGCTCTTCAGAAAACAAAGATAGCAAACACATCATTAGGGCCAGTGTTAAATAGTCCTGGTGACCCAAATGATTCATGGAATTCTTTTAAAAGGGTACACTGATGTTGAAAATCTTGGTTTCCTTATTCACAGCATGATAAGATTGCTCTATAACCACTGAAAAGTTAGTGCAAAGGGTATATGCTCACAGAGATGAAGGAGAGAATTTACTTCACAACTGCATTTCAGTCCTTTACTCATATTTTCAACTGCACTTTTACTCTTTGTTTAAGTTGCCTTCTGCCTAATAATAAGTCACTCATCTCTTAATACACGGTGTCTCTTGGTAAGTTTTTTCCCCCATATATCATTTAGTTTTATAGCATGCCTGCCAGCCTTTAGCTTCAGCTTCCTACTCTGTCTGGAAACTACATTTTTCTGCAGAATTTCTATTTTAGCCTTTGACAGCTGATTATTTGGTTTGCTACTTGAGTGCCTTAAACTAACACGCCTGTTGCTCTTGTTGAGTGGTTTTACTTTACTGGCTTGTCGAATTAGTATATGCCTCTCAGGGAAAAAATAAAGCAGTTAGGTTGTATAATATATTTCTTGTGGAAACATTTTCTTCTACTTTTGATACAGGTTAGTTGGCTGCCCATATTCTGAAATCAATCGCAACCGAGAGAATTCTTTACAAGATCGTCTAGGTGGAGAGAAACCTTCTCCCAGTATTATTGTTCAAAAACCCAAGAAGCCGGAGACTTCTGTATCACTTCCAGATCAGGATGACTCTCCAAAGTCTAGGTGAAACTTTAGATTAAACATGAGATATAATATTCTGTATGTTTATTCAGCTCCCCTTGTGCTGGGAAGTGTTTCGGATGATTGATGCTCTGGATATAAGAAAGAGTGTATAATAAACATACTAAAACATGATAGCTCTTTAAAAATCAGTGTTGTATTAAATATCCTTCCCTTTCAGTTTCATCCTCATAACTTTCTGTGCTAAGGGCCATGTAGAAAGTAGTGTTCAGTTGTGTTCTTTGATAAATAATCAAGAAAGGGGTGTTATACATAATGTTTAACATATATATGAGAACTCCCCTGCATCATACAGTATTTTCAGCAGAATGTAAATATAGTTCATGGTGTAGTATTATCTCTCCTACTTTGGATGAAGCTTTGTAATTCAAAAGGAGCATTGAACTCTGTAAAATTAAAATTTGCACTTACTTTGTCCTGGTTGAATGTAGTCCAGTGGGTAATATATACAATAGCCAGCTGAATGAGAAAAGAGTTTGACAAGCCTCCCCTAATCTGATGCCCTCAGGCTGTTTTGGACTACATTTCCCATCCTTCCCAGATAGTATGTCCTATGGTTCTAGATAATGGGAGTTGTAAACCAAAATGCGTAAAGGACAGTGAAGTCAGGGACGTTGCAGTAGAATATGTCAGTTTATTAGGCTGTTAAAAGGATTTATAGGGGAGAAGAAGAAACTGATTTCAAATTCCACTCTGCTTCCCATTTTCCTGTCCATTACAAAGGTGCTTGTTTCAGATATGCCAAAAAAGCAGAGCCAAATTTACTTTTTCCGAACAAGCCTTCCCTCCTGATCTCCCGCAAAAGTGGGAGGGGGGATATGAAATGCCACCTTCCCAGCTCAAGAGCTGTGTTGGGGAAGGGCAAAGAAACATTTCTTTATGTTGCCTCCTTCTCTTTCCTCACTCCTGAAACCTGGGTGCTGTTTTTTGTTATTCTTTGCTTCTTGAGAGAAGGGGACAAAGGGCACTGGAATCCTCTTGGTACTCAAGATGGGGCCTCTTTCAATGAGTTGTTCCCCGTAGGTGATAGCTGTACTTTCATGATATTGTCAGATGCAACACTCTTTATTGGAGTGCATGGTAGCCATTTCAGTTGTTTTCTTTGAAAGAAAATAGAGGCAAATATCATTGGCATGGGGAATAGTCTTGTATTCAACATTATGGGAGTATAGGAAACAGACTGTTTGTTCCATAACCTAGTATTATTCACTCTGCCTGGCAGTGGTTCCTCTCATACAGAGGTGTTTTTTTTTTACATTATGCATTACATGTTCTTTTAAACTAGAGATTCTAGGGAAGGTATCTGGAACCTTCTGGAGTAATAAATCTTAGATCCTGACTCTCTCTGAGATTGTAGTTTACAGTACCGTATTTTTCCATGTATAAGGCTATACTTTTGTCTAAAATCTTTAGACTAAAATTGAGGGTCGTCTTATACTCAGAAGTAAGCTGAAGAGAGAACAAAAACAAGTAGAGGGAACCAAGGATCAAAGCGATCCTGCAGTGCTTTGATCCCTTTCCCCCTCCACTTGCTAAGCCCCACTTAGGTTTCTTAATTTTGGATTAGAAAAGTGGAGGGCATCTTATACATGGGGGTGTCTTATACATGGAAAAATAAGGTACCTTATTCTGCAGGACTAATGTGTTTACTTTGTTTCACAGCAATAACGCTGGTAACTCACTAAGCTCCCTCTGCATAAACACCCCACCCACCCCTAATTGGCATAGACCTGCTTGGATTCTGATTGCTAAGTGAACATGTGAAATTGTTAAAGTAGCTTTTATAAATGTAGAAATTATTTCCTAAATAGGAAGTCATCCACAGAAGATGGAGAGAAATCAGAATGGAGCAGTGGGCAGAGTCTGTCTGAGCAGTCTGAGACCAGCCAACAGAAGGACTCATCTGAGGAAGGGTCATCTGCTGTTACCAGAGTTAAATCAAAAGGGTAAACAAAACATTTCAGCTTGTCAGATCTATTAGTAAAGAAGTTTGTTACGGGGAACAATGGAATGTGAAGTGAAGAGATAAAGATTGGTAATAGATGCAGACTAGAAATGGCACGTTTAAACAAATCTGTGGAGGTAAAGATATGGTGTCTACTGAGCCGAAAATAATTCCATGGTAGTTGAATTCATTTTCAAATTGTTTGTTAGAAGTTGCAATCTGAACTGTGGTAGTCCTGAATGGATGACTCTGAATTGGAACTGAACCTCACTCTCCCCTCCCTTTTTTTTCTTTTTTCTTCTTCTTTTTTTTTCTTCTTCCACTCTCCCCTCCTTTTTTTTCTTTTTTCTTTTCTTCTTTTTTTGGTGGCAGAGGAGTAAATGTGCTACCTTGCTGAAGTGCAAACATGAAAGGTTTTGTGAAATATGAAAGATGAATGGATGCATTGTAGTATAACCTATGTGCATTATTGCTCATATTACCAGATGCTGGCTAAATTTGATGAAACAAGTTCCAAAATAAACATAATATGGAATGGTATTAGCCTCTTCACAAGTTTAATGCTTCAACTCCTGGACTAAAACTCTTCAGAGGAAGTAATTTTTCTCTCTCTTATGTATACTTTATTGTCTTTATGTTTTCAGGATTAATTTGTCACATAGCTGTATAAAGCACCAGCTAGTGAAGCAGGATACTGATGGAAGAGGTTAGTTAATTTGTGTGCATGCTTATTAAAATGTATTTCCCTTTTTTAGTTTGTGTGTGTGTGTGTTATAAGTGTTAGATTGTACTGAATATTTTCTTTTTTCCCTTTTGATGTAGGGGGAAACCCATTATTTTGTTTGCTTCAGATTCCCCCCCCCTCATTTTCCCCTCTTGCAAGCCTCTTACTAAAATGAATTTGAAGCATTTTTATAAATGGTTGTCGTGGGTTTTTCGGGCTCTTTGGCCGTGTTCTGAAAGTTGTTCTTCCCGACGTTTCGCCAGTCTCTGTGGCCAGCATCTTCAGAGGACTGGAGTAGGAACTCTGTCGATATTCTGTCTCTAGTCCTCTGAAGATGTTCCTGCTCCAGTCCTCTGAAGATGCCGGCCACAGAGACTGGTGAAACGTCAGGAAGAACAACCTTCAGAACACAGCCAGAGCCCCAAAAAAAACCCCACAACAACAATCAGATCCCGGCCGTGAAAGCCTTCAAGAATACATTTTTATAAATATTGTGTTTTGTTTTTGAATATACTTCATGTTTTTACACTGAGCATGAGTATAACAAATGTAATCAGTCCCGAAGAAAGTTGCCTTCATGACCAACACCCCTCTTACTTGAATATAGAAAAGATTACATCTTTGTTTTTAGTAAGAAAAACAGAAGACCCACAAGAAAATGTTGTAGTACATCTCCAGCTTGAATAGCACTGTCTCCATTCAGGTTCCAGCCAACTTTTATCACTTTCTAATAAGCCTCAGTAACAAACTTGTATGGGGTAAGGAAGGCACATATTTCCTCTTCCTACCCCAATTGTGCAGTCTTTAAATGCTGTGAATATTCCTTACCACTGATCATTAATGCACCAAAATCAGATTAATTTATTTTATTGAAACCACCTCTTAAATTTCTGTTCTAGCTTAGTGTGAATAAATGATGGCCTTTCTCTTCCATCTAAACAAGATATGTTATGTCAGTGCTTTTACATATACAAGTTGATGCTGCCGATAATATGACCAGGATATTAGTTTTGGAAGGCTTGTCTTCCAGATCAGCTCTCTGTAATCATTGGCAGGAGTAATTTATTGTCCTGCCATTTTTGAAGCAGGAGCACCAGGATGTAGCGAAGTATTTGGCTACTTCCTCAGATCCTTGTTCTCCTAAATGCAGCAAATGCCTCTTTTATTGCTGCTGCCACTAGATGTCACTACAGGCTTTCTTAGTAATTGCAATGTAAAATGTCCTAATGTCTGGAGAATACCTTTCATGGTGTTTGCTTGTCTGACTATCTGTTTGTTTTCATACATGTCTCCATGAAGAAGGAGGAGCAACAAATATAATTAGTCAAATATATCTATGCTGCAGTCCCTGTTATCTAGATAGTCAGCTACAGATCCTTACTGCACCGTGACACAGCACTAACCAAATGATCCAGTATACCAGGCGAGGGGGAGTACTGCAAGACAGGAAGAAAGATGTTTTCTTTACTGCCCTTATTTTTTGATAAAAGTATGCTGATACTAACATCTGGAAGAACCTGGCAGCCTTCTTGACTTTGCACTCTTTTTTTGCCGAGAAGAGGCCAGTGCTTGTCATTAGCTGGCATGCTGTAAGCTGGAATGGTGCCATTCATTTCCAATTGAGGATGCAGTTACTCAACCTCCTCCTCCCTGGCAACTCCTCCCGTGTTAGCACCAGGACATATCTTCCCTAAGGTCGGCTGTAACAGTGCAGGGGTTTCCTCTGTACATTTTTGAAAGGGGCATGCTCTAAGCACAGCCGGCCCAGGGGAATAAAGTGCCTGCGCTTCCAACGTGCACCTGAACAAGGACTGACTCATCTGTCTTCCCATCTGCAGACGCAGCGCTTGCTCTTCAACAGGCCCTCCACCAGTCTGTCTTCATGCCTTCCCTTTCCACAAACCCTTCTCACCGTCTCCATCTCTGCTGGGAGCAACACTGCAAACTGCTGCCAGAGGTCTCTGGTCTCACTGCAAAGAATGTGGCCAAATGGAGTGTGGAAGAGGTGAGTTCTGCTTCCTCCTTTTTTTCTGTCTCACTGGAAAGCATTATTAATACAATGGCAGTGATTCTGTTTTTTCTCCCCCCTGTTTTACAATTATGGGTTATTTTGGCTTGGGGGGGGGGTGTAACCCAGTCAGAAGTTCATACCAAGACCTGGAATAGACAGAGATGCACCAACCTTTTCTGTGCATTCATCTCTTCTTTTACTACCTGCCCCATTTTGGGGCCTTTGCTGACAGTAGCCTTTCTGCGCTTCTCTCTACTGCTGACTCACTTTATATTACAATTGTCCTGCGCATGCTTGCTTAGCTGTGTCACAAAAAAAAAAAATCCCCACCGTGTGGCAGGATTGCTGACAGAAAGACTCGTTTTACTAAGGCTGTGATTTTACATCAAAGCTCATGTTGTGCTTTGCTGCAAGCCAGGATGTTTTGCCCTGCAGTCAATGCCTAAGTGACACAGCATTATCTGTGCTGCATACTGGGCAAGACCTTTTAGATGAATAGTATCAGGAATTAGGTATCATTGCCTTGTGAATAGAAAACAGCAATCTGTGATTTTGTTTTAGTTGACATACAAACCTTTATTGGCATTGAAAAGTACAGAGTGCTTAGATCAATAGAAAAGCTATGGAGAGCAATAAAACCATGACCAAATTAAGTTGGGAAAAGTGGTGCAACTATGGACTATGCCTGGGAGATAGCCTCTCTGATTTGAATCGTGGTATGTAAAAAGCAAGCAACATAGGTAGTGACATGGCTAATTTTCCCCTGGACTAAAAAACAAACCTTGGCCTTATCAGAGCAACCTTGAACACCAGAGAGCAGTGGATCTAAAAATCTTGCTCGCAGGCTATTATAAAGGGGGCAGTCCAAAAGAACATGAGAAACTGTTTCAATGGCATCTTGACTGCAGGGGCATCGTCTGAGATTATGTGGGACTCTGCAGTATCTACCAAGTAAAATAGCCGACGGTAGTACATTGAATCTTGCCAGCATGAATGCTCTTCTTTGGTGGGGATCAGTTAAAAGGGAGAAATAGGGAGCTAGAAGCCCTGGCTTCAGGAGTAGACCCAAATGACTAGGGGAACAAGTTTTCCGGGTTGCCTCATTTCAGGCAGGATTTGTTAAACTAGATATTATGCTTTCCTGCTGTATGCTTTAAAATTGTGGAAAGGCCTAATAATCTGATTTTGACACCATAGAAGACTGACATTTAAAATATGATGAACCAAATACAGCAGCTTTTTTAAAAAATTAAATACTCTGGTATGATTTTTACTATTATTATTATTCAGTCCTTTAAAAAACATTTTTCTGAATGTAGGATATTGCTTCTGTGTTTGTGCTTCAAAATGCCAGGAAATAGCTTCATATCTTGCAATGCCATGCCCACTTTGGCAGCAGGAGAAAAGATGCCTAGTTCTACATAGCAACGTCCAGCATGTATGTTGATGGCACCAGTGTCAGCAGTCAGGATGATCTATAACATACCTTCTTGTGCTCACAGACAGACATCATCCAATCGAAAATGCCAGAACCTGACTCCTTTTTTCCATCTCGTTGAGAGACAGTTTTCATGAATGTTTTTGAAAATGTCTTTAGATGTTTATTGGTCTTGTGCATGTCTAATAATAGATATGTACACATGATGTTCCCTTATATGCTGACCGTATTCCGGCATAATACTAAACTGTGTTTTAGTGTTACATAACCATGCCAAAGCAGGACTGCAGTTGAACATTAACAGGACAGAAATCCTGACTACAGAAGAACTACATAACTTTAATGTTGATAATGAAGAAATTGAAATAGTGAAATATCATGTATACTTTGTTGAATCATCAATTGAGAAAGAGACTGTAGCCAAGAAATCAGAAAACTGATGATTTTGACACCATAGAAGACTGACATTTAAAATATGATGAACCAAATACAGCAGCTTTTTTAAAAAATTAAATACTCTGGTATGATTTTTACTATTATTATTATTCAGTCCTTTAAAAAACATTTTTCTGAATGTAGGATATTGCTTCTGTGTTCATGCTTCAAAATGCCAGGAAATAGCTTCATATCTTGCAATGCCATGCCCACTTTGGCAGCAGGAGAAAAGATGCCTACCTGTAGTTCTACATAGCAAAGTCCAGCATGTATGTTGATGGCGCCAGTGTCAGCAGTCAGGATGATCTATAACATACCTTCTTGTGCTCACAGACAGACATCATCCAATCGAAAATGCCAGAACCTGACTCCTTTTTTCCATCTCGTTGAGAGACAGTTTTCATGAATGTTTTTGAAAATGTCTTTAGATGTTTATTGGTCTTGTGCATGTCTAATAATAGATATGTACACATGATGTTCCCTTATATGCTGACCGTATTCCGGCATAATACTAAACTGTGTTTTAGTGTTACATAACCATGCCAAAGCAGGACTCCAGTTGAACATTAACAGGACAGAAATCCTGACTTGACTAGAACTACATAACTTTAATGTTGATAATGAAGAAATTGAAATAGTGAAATATCATGTATACTGTGTTGAATCATCAATTGAGAAAGAGACTGTAGCCAAGAAATCAGAAAACTGAAAATTGGAATGGCTACAGTGAAAGAATTACAAAAGATCATCAAGTGTAAGAATGTGACCAAGACCAAGATCATCCACAGTCTTGTATTCCCCATAACCATGTATGGATGTGGAAGCTGAACAGTAAAGAAAGCTGACAGGAAAACAAATTACTCGTTTGAAGTTTGGTGCTGGAGGAGAGCTTTGGGGATACTCTGAATTGCCTGAAAGACAATTCGGTCCTAGAGCCAAATCAAACCTGAACTATCTCTGGAGGCAAAAACGATGAAACTGAAGCTGTCCTACTTTGGGCACATAATAAAAAGCAGAAGGCAAGATTCTCTGGAAAAGACAATGCTGGAAAAATTGAAGGCAGCAGGAAAAGAAGACCTTCATCTAGAGCAGTGGTTCCCATATGTTCTTGGACTAAAACTTCCAGAAAGATGTATTGACAGGCAGAAGATCATAGGGCCGCCACAAGTCAGTAGCAACTTGATGGCATGTAACAATAATGTATCAGATCTCAAGGTTGTGTACTTCCCTCTTCTCTGCTACAACTGTGGAGATGTGATCAGAAGTTTTCATTTCCATTTTTTCATATTTATCGTAACTGGATTTTATTGAAACAAGCCAGCTTCATGCACTACAATTTGAAGTTGGCTTGTTTCAATAAATTGCAGCTGAGACTACCATATTCACGGATTTAGACATTAGGCAAGTGCATTTCAACATTGACCAGCAAACACAAGGACAATATCCTTTTGTATCAGAGCACTGGGCCAGAGTTTGGCCCATTTGGGCCAGTGAAGCTTTCTGGTCCAGCCTTTATCCAGGTAAAAATCATTTAGTTGTCTAGCAGTTTCAAGAAGGAGGACATTTTCCTGATAGTGTCCCTTTCAACTATTTATCCTCTCTGTTGGTGTTAGGGATGTCATAGATAAGTGTGCTCATGGAAGTGTGCTTTGTAAAAGAGCTACTCCCTTTAGGAAACACCAGGATACTTAAAAGTTGTGGCATCAGAGCAGGTACACTCAGTATATTTTGCTTCCTATCATCTGAACTCCATACCATTCTAAAGGTAAAGTGATCTTCATCTAGAGCAGTGGTTCCCAACCAGGGTCCCCATATGTTCTTGGACTAAAACTTCCAGAAGCCTTCACCAGTTATTGTACTGGCCAGGATTTCTGGGAATTCTAGTCTAAAAACATCTGGGGACTGATCTAGAATGATGAAGCAGAATATAATGATGGAATGGACATTTCAGATTCAAGAAGGATGCTCACACGTTGGAACAAGTTTTGTTGTTGTTTAGTCGTTAAGTCATGTCCAACTCTTCATGACCCCATGGACCAGAGCACACCAGGCCCTCCTGTCTTCCAATGCCTCCCGGAGTTGGGTCAAATTCATGTTGGTAGCTTCGGTGACACTGTCCAACCATCTTGTCCTCTGTCGTCCCCTTCTCCTCTTGCCTTCACACTTTCCCAACATCAGGGTCTTTTCCAGGGAGTCTTCTCTTCTCATGAGGTGGCCAAAGTATTGGAGCCTCAGCTTCAGGATCTGTCCTTCCAGTGAGCACTCAGGGTTGATTTCCTTCAGAATGGATAGGTTTGTTCTCTTTGCAGTCCAGGGGACTCTCAAGAGTCTCCTCCAGCACTATAATTCAAAAGCATCAATTCTTCGGCGCTCAGCCTTCTTTATGGACCAAGCTCTCACTTCCATACATCACTACTGGAAAAAACATAGCTTTGATGATGCACAGCAAGTTTAGAGAAGGGCAATAAGGATGATCAGGGGGCTGGAAACCAAGCCCTGTGAGGAAAGACTGAAATACCTCAATATGTTTAGCCTTGAGAAAAGAAGAGTGAGGGGAGTTATGATAGCACTTTTCAAATACTTGAGAGGCTGTCATTCAGAGAAGAGGTAGGATCTGTTCTCGATCATCACAGAGTGCAAATACTTGAGAGGCTGTCATTCAGAGAAGGGGTAGGATCTATTCTCGATCATCACAGAGTGCAGGACATGCAACAGTGGGATTAAGTTACAGGAAACCAGATTTTGGGTAAATATCAAGAAAAACTTCATAACTGTTAGAACAGTATGGCAGTGCAGCCAATTGCTTCGAGAGGTGGTGAGTGCTCGAGGCTGTCATTCAGAGAAGGGGTAGGATCTATTCTCGATCATCACAGAGTGCAGGACATGCAACAGTGGGATTAAGTTACAGGAAACCAGATTTTGGGTAAATATCAAGAAAAACTTCATAACTGTTAGAACAGTATGGCAGTGCAGCCAATTGCTTCGAGAGGTGGTGAGTGCTCCCAATATCAAGAAAAACTTCATAACTATTAGAACAATATGGCAGTGCAGCCAATTGCTTCGAGATGTGGTGAGTGCTCCAATACTGGAGCCATTCAAGAGAAATTTAGACAACTACCTAGCACATATATTTGATTTGTATTCCAGAATTGAATAAGGGGTCGGACTCAATGGCCTTATAGGCCATTTCCAACTTCACTATTCTATGATTCTGTGATTCAGTTTAGTGGGGATGGGCTAGTCTAAAATATCTTTTCCTGATGCCTTTCCTGTAAACTTACTGTTTACAGTAAGTTGTTTTCTTTAATGAAGGTTACTGCAAAATGGCTACTTCAGGATTTTGTCACTTCATTTTGTTGCATGTCAATTGCAGTTGACTTTAGGAAGCTTTCTTACCTTTTGTTTTTAAACTTATCCTCACTATATTTCTCTTTGTGCCACAGCCACCCTGAAGCATTTTACTGTTGTGAGCACACAACCAAACCAGAGATTCAGGAACAGGTGCTTTGCAATGCATACTGCTTTGCTGATGCCCAAGCAATTAGACAGATTGATTATATAGTTTCAGTGGGCCCTCTTTTGTCTTCTTTCAAGGGTTTGGTTTCATTAGTATTGCAGTTGTTGTCTATTGTCTGCCTTGTTAGCTGACATTTATTTATTTATATCAATTGTTGCATCAACTACCTGATAATATAGAGAAGCAAACATCTTAATGCTTTAACTTTATTCAAATGAATAACAATTGTTGACTAAGCAGTACTGGTTTGGTTTTGTATATTGTGTTTTTATTGTCAAGATTGTCAGTCACTTCTTTAACATTTCTGCCTGTTATTTGTCACTCTTGTTCAGGTGGCTGGTTTTGTACAGCGTCTCCCTGGCTGCAAGGATCAGGCTGCACTCTTCCGACAAGAGGTAAGTCAATCCTGTCTGTGTATGTCGCTCTTAATAGTGGGCTGCAGCACCTTGCTGTTTATATCTGATGTTCCAAGAGTTGGCCCTTAAAACATTTGTGGGGTCACTGATGAAACAACCCTATGCATCTAAATGAGCCACAATCAGTTCTAAGAAAAATTGCATTCTGCAGCTTGTTCACCTGTTAAGCAATTTGCATATTCTTGTTTACAAATGTCACTCTAATAATCCACATAATTCTACTCCCATAATCACTGGAGGGAGGCACTGTATATAACACTGTAGAGCTGCTCCTAACTATTGGAAATCTTAGTCAGTCACTCATTGTGTGAAGTAGTATGTATAGCTTCATATTGTATACAACAATGCAGAAATATACATTACTGCTCTCAGTCAAGAGCTCATCTTTATCACTGTGAATATTGCAGAGTGTAGATAGATGACATATTTTAAAGCTGAAACTTCTAGAAAGTCCTTTACAATGTAGAAAAGAGCCTATGGAATAAAATTAGGCCTTCATCTATAAAATAAATAAATAAGAAGAAATCATGTGTGTATGGAGCTGGGTAGTTCTAAACTTTCTAATGCTATTTTAGCTGGATTCTAAATATGTCTCCAGTCTTAGCCACTCATGAGTTGGGATTCCAATCAAATCTAAAATGTGAGCCCTTGCAGTCCATATTCTCCATCTGGCATGAAGCTGATAAATTTCTCATCACAATGTCAGCTATGGCTAAAGTTAAACCTATTTTAAAAAGTCTGCCAGACTGTGGCTAGAAATAAGATATAGGTGGCAAAATTGCTGAACTCTGCTGTAATATTAGCAGCAAGTGAGTTGCCACAACTCCCAATGTTTAGATTGGGAGTTGATTGCAGCCTAGGCAGTAGTCTGGATCGTGTGTTTTAACATTCATTATAAGTGTTAGTTACTAAACGAGACAGCTGAAATGAAAACAAATTGTGTATACTGTCTTAAAAGAAAGCCAAGTGGATTGGGCAAATCTCCAAGTGAGCAACGGGTGGATAATGACACTTGGATGGCATTCAACAGAGCTTCCTCTAAAACAGAATGACTTGGTAGTTATTAGAAATTAAGAAAATTAGAGATTGTACTTGATGGATGAAAGCCTTCTTGCATTGTTTTCTCAACTTGTTTAATATTTGGTCTGTAATTTGTTTTGAGATTGTAATATATCTCAGGAATTAGCATGTTTTTCAGCCCACTCTGAAGGGATTTTTGTATGCTTTCTTCCCGTTTCTAGAAATCAGTTTAGCTACTTGTAGATTTTAACTTCCTAATGCAAAGAAGAACCTTTTCATCAATTTGTGCAAAGCTTTAATCCTTTTTAAATACATTTGCATAAGCTGTCATTTTAGGGCACTGCGCCCTTGATCTTCAGTACCGTATTTTTCCATGTATAAGACACCCTCATGTATAAGATGTCCCCCATTTTTCTAACCCAAAATTAAGAAATCTAAGTGGGGCTTAGCAAGTGTAGGGGGAAAGGGATCAAAGCACTACAGGATCACTTTGATCCCTGCTTTTTCCCGTCGTGCTAAGCTCCATGGGATTTAGCAAAAGGAGGGGGAAAGGGATCAAAGCAATTCCGTGACTGTATGATCATTTTGATCCCTTTCCTCCTTACACAGCCATGGGATTGCTTTGATCCTTTCCCCCTCCTTTTGCTAAGCCCCATGGGACTTAGTAAACAGAGAGAAAAGCAGGGATCAAAGCCATCCTGCAGTGCTTTGATCCCTGCTTTCCTTTTGCTAAGGCTTAGCAAGTGGAGGGGAAAGCAGGGATCAAAGCCCTGCAGGATCAGTTTGATCCCTGCTTTCCCCTCCACTTGTTTTTTCTCTCCTCAGCTTACTTTCATGTATAAGACCACCCTCAATTTTCAGTCTAAAGATTTTAGATAAAAATATAGTCTTATGCATGGTATATTTTAGCTGCAGTTGGCTCCATCCATATACAGTCTACAACATAAAAATACTATATGTCCATAAATGAACATTAAAACACACTCCATCAATTTAAAATTTAGAGCTTTTTGAGCGTAATGTTTACCAACTTGGATGTAAAAGAAAAAAAATTGTGAAGAAGGATATCCTTATAACAAGCTTGATCCTCCAAGCTGTTTGCCGGTCAGATTGATCCAAATAGATGGGGCAACACTGATCATTCACTGAATCATAGAATAATGAAGTTGGAAGGGGCCTATAAGATCATCAAGTCGAACCTCCTGCTCAATGCAGGAATACAAATCAAAGGATATCTGCCAGGTGGTTGTCTATATTACTCTTGAATGCCTCCAGTGCTGGAACATTCACCACTTCTCGAAGTAATTTCTTCCATTGCTGTACTGCTCCCTTCAGTCCTGTTCCTGCCTGTCTTCTTATAAGCTGCATTCTGATCTCATTTCCAATGTGTCTATCCAATTTTTCTCTCTCCCCTATTTTTTAAATCTATCTCCTCTCTGACTCGTTGCTCTCTTATTATTACGCTCCTCTTCATGGCTCACCATTGAACTTTGACTATGTCTGAGGTATCAGTAAGGGGGATAATCCCACTTTGGGGGGTGGGGATGTAATATTTGGAGAAGACCCCATTGGTCCAAACTATTGCAGTCAAGGATGACACTGTTAATCAGAAGGAGTCAGGCCCCTTAAGGTAAAATCGGATATGCCTGCCTTTATCTGCTCTTACACTGAGACAATCTGAGGATGCAACCGAGGCAGCTTCAATCTCTACTAGAGAAGTAGAGTTGGATTCAGGGGGCCCAGAACTGGGAAATTCTCTACTGCTCCCCTCCCCTAAATAATTGACAGCTTGTTCCTGTATCCAGAGCTTATCTGGTGGAGAAAATGTTTCATTACTAAGGAGGCAAGCAATGCATAGTCCCCACAGGAATACAGGGACTCTTTGGTTAGCACAGAGATCCCTCCCTCACCCCTGGAGAAAAGGGTGTGACTTAGTCATAGGTGTCTTCCTGTCCCAGTCAGACCAAGTAACATACAGGGAAAGCTGGGCAGAAAACCAATACGGACCCTTCCTCTTGCACAGTCCAGAACTGCACAATTAGGGATATAGCAGAAACTGAAAACAAATCAGGGAGTGGTTGCCATTTTATTACTTCAGTACAGGAAAAGGATTTGGGAGCAGGCACCACCTTAAGGAAGGGGGAAAGTAGATCACTACAGAAGAACCTCTGTATCTGCAGGATCAGTATCCACTATTTCACTTACCCAAGGTCTGAAAATATTAAAAGTATTAAAAGAAAAATCATAGAAATCTCTCTCTAAGGATGAAGTGACCAGACCTGGTCACCAGAGGGAGACAGAGACCATGCTAATCACGGTGTTTACTATTGAAATTGCTTTTTTATAATACATGTTTTTCAGTATCCAGAGATTTGGAAGGCTTACTTTCATTCTTGCTCTCAGAAAAATAAGGGACAACTGTTAAAGAACGAGGGGCAAGCAGAGGGTGATTCGTCTTCACCATCACCCTCAAGACTGTTCAGTCATGAGGATTTTTCAGTTTTGTTGTAAGGCGTCACAGAGGTTCCTATCTTCTTTCTACCAGTGCAAGGTGAAATGGCGGTGAACTTTTTTGGCCATAAGCGCAGCCTAACTGACTCTTACAAAAATAATGATTCTGATACACATCTTCAGATTCACATGAACTGCTAGAAGTGTGGAAAAGTATGTCAGAGTTGTTTCTGTGAGATACAAAGACCCTGATCTATATCCTGATCCTAGATACCGACCCCTATCTGTCACAATTTACATTCTAGGCAACTTTCTTAGCAACTATACATTAAGAAACATGCCAGTCCACATCACAAGTGTGCAGTTGGTATACTTCTGTTGAATTAGTCATATGCCAAGATTGGAATGAGTTTTTAAACAGTGGAGGAGTTGTATGAATTCTGTTTTCAACTTGCTCTGGTACTCAACAATATGCAGATAAAAATGTTTTGTCCCTTGACCTGGCCAGCGTTCCCTTTGCTCTGTATATCAATTACTGGGAACAAAAGGGGAAGAATGTTGTTTTGTACTTGTATTTATGGGATTTCTATAGGCAGCTGCTGGCCACAATGCCAATAGAATGCTGCTTTGACCCAGTAGGGTTCTTCTTATATTTTTATATCTTTATCTTATGCACTGACAGGACTTTAGAAGAACTGTTTTAATCTTATTCTTTTGGCTGTTAGGAAACAATTTTACAGCTTCCCTTACTTCAAGCCTGGTCTCGCAGGAAATGCAGTGGTTTTATTCTTTGGAGATTCCATTCATTCAGGACCCCTGATTTTCTCATTAGTTCCCCTTGAAGGAGTAGTAATGGATATGAGCAGCTGTTGCCACAGCATAATGCAGCCAAGTAGTTTCCACAGTGAGAGCTGCTGAAGAAAATTAAGGGACAAGCTAACTTATAATTATGCATTGTTAAGTCAATTCTGACTTTTGGCAACCCTTGCCAAGGTTTAGTACATACAAAAGTACTCAGAAATTGTTTACCAGTCCCTTCTTCTGATAGTGTCCTACAACTGCAACTTGTCCAAAGCTAGGTCCTTTAAAATTAACATGGTAAGGGATGATGTTAAGACTGCTTCAACAAGACTGCTTTCAAAAAGGAGGAGGAAAAAGCAATAGAGCATACAAAATTTTCTTAGATGTCTCTTCTGATTATTAGAGAGGAGCATGAACCACCACCACCCCCGCTTGGTGGTTCATACCAGTTCATCCTTTGAACGAACAGGTGTTTGCGGTTCTGAGCCCTGCCTCCTCTGATGGGCACCCACTAAGAGGCAGCACCCCAGCTTCTGTGACCCAACACCTCCAGGAGTTCTCTCCTGATGATCCTAAACATAAACCAATGCTTTATATTGGGTTGAGCCATTGCTATATCTAGCCCAGTGTTGTCTATTCACAGAAAACAGCTCTCGTTCCAGATAGAGAGAGGTATTCTCTAGCCCTTTTGTTTGAGATCCTTGTTATTGAAAATGCAAGAACTGAACTTCATGTAACCAAACCATGTGATATATTATTACTCAGCTATATTTCCTCTAAACTATTGTAAACTTAACTATTGTAAACTTTTAAAGTAAATGTTTCAGGTCACACCTTTGAAGGTTGACTCAGCCTTCCATCCTTCCGAGGTCGGAGAACTGAACTTCATGTAACCAAACCATGTGATACAGTATATTATTACTCAGATATATTTCCTCTAAACTATTGCAAACTTAACTATTGTAAACTTTTAAAGTAAATGTTTCAGGTCACACCTTTGAAATCTATGAGTTTGTGCTGAGCTTAAAGGGCAAAACATATTGGCAGATGTTATTTGGAAAAAGGGTATGCTAATAGGATATCTGTGCCATCAGTTGCCATGTCTCCTTTTTTTACTGTCTGGTTTTAAATGCACAGAAGCTGGAATGTCCCAACCATCGCACTGACACCACATTTTTCTGTTTTCACCCTGCAGCAGATTGATGGCGAAGCCTTCCTCCTCCTGAACCAGTCAGACATTGTTAAAATCCTCAGTATCAAACTGGGGCCTGCACTGAAAATTTACAATGCCATCCTTATGTTCAAGACTGCAGAAGAAGACTGAGACAGCTCCTTTAGGACCAGACTGGGCAAAGAGGTCAAAGCTAGAACAAATTGGAAGCAGAAAGCCCAGCTACACTTTTACTGAATAAGTTATGAACTTGGAAAGGCAGCGAGTGGCCTAATCGTATTTCAGGCTGTCTTGAGCTGAACCTGCTGAAAGGACCCTGAAGAAGTACCGTCCCTTCTGCCACCTGGAATGGATGTGGTGGCTTCCCTTCTAGGAAGAGATAATTATTTTTCCCTTAATTGTATTTGCATATGGTTATATTGATCTTTTGTGAAGATCTTGACAATGCCTCCAGTTATAAGAGGAATCCTGGGTATTGCTGTTGGTAGGAAGCCAAACTGAAGCAAAGTGACTTACGTGTTGAGAGTGCCTGAAACTGAATCCAAGCTATCACTGTTGTGCTTTGATGGCTTCTGTATGCACAGAACATAGAACTGAGGCTTAAGCGGACAAGGGGAAGGAGAAATTCCTCAAAGCAGTGCAGTTGAATTCCTTATCAAACACCTTTATTTTGTCGGAATAGTTTTAAATCCTTATCTTTTTATTTTCTTACAGCTGTTGAAATACTGTCAGCATTTCTTGAGTTTGGGTCAGTGGCAGGAATGACAGCTACCTCCACCTTCAGGTGATTGTGTCTGCCTTGCAAGCTATGGAAATGTATAGTTTAGGAGTTGGAATTAAAATAGATTTAAAAGAAGACACCAGAGATGTTTTTTATCAAAGGAAGACTAATCGTTTGGGCAAAGGAGTAGAGTAACAAGATTCTGTCTGTGTTAAAAAAGATGGTGGTGCTTCCATCATCTTCCAGTTCAGATCAAGATCAGATTGGGTAGATGGAAGCCTACCCAGTTCTGTCAGGGTTTTTTTTGGGGGGGGGCGGGGGATAATTGGTGGGGCAGTGGCAGCATAATGTGCTACCAGTCACAGTATTTGTTAAAATTACAGCTGGTTTGTGCATCTGTGTAACTTGCTTGGCTCTCTCATAGTTTTAAGGAGATGAGTGTTCAGTATATGAGCTAACTACTGCTGCCTTTTGTCCACCATTTTTTTCAGTAGCAATTACAGAGACACTTCTAAGCCCCTGTTGAAATTAAATAAATGGAGGCAGCAGTATGGAATTAGGTGTTTCACACCTGGGACCCCACATTTCTGCTGTGGAGTGCAATATGAAGCTAATATGCTCAGTTATTGAAACAGTTTGCCTTTGTTTTGATCAGAAATTGCTATTTTTTGTCTTTAGAACAGTATTTACCTGATTTACTATGCAGCAAACCATCTTGTGGGTTTCTGCTGAAACATGGTGTGATATTTGGCTGGATGGAAGAAGGTAGAAGGGGAAGTGCAGGATACCACACCTGTTGAAAGAAAGGAAACTAATACAAATCTTGTATAGGAAAGATCCTGCCTTGGGATACAGTCACACACTTATTTTCTTTTCAGTAGCGGGGGAACATATTATTAACTTTGTCACATAACCTCTTCCTCTTGCATGCACATCAGAGCAAACATTTTACAATGTTTAGTATCCGACAAACAGGAGTCCCTTGAAGAATACTTCACAAAATCAATCCAAATTGACTCTTTATTTAATGTAAAGCAATTAATTGTATTAGTTGGTGTTTTATCAGAAATGGGTGAAAAGGGTAGTTCTAAAAAGATATGAAGGATAGTACTCTCTTAATGTGATCTGTCATGGTCAGGAAATATGTGAGCCAAAAAGTACACAGTTTTATTGTTGGTCAGTGGCATATGTCCTCTTTAATTAATTACCTCTTAACTTATATCATAAATAAATAGGAGACACTACAGTGAACAATGGTTTTGGGCTTCCAGTTACATCTCCTTCACAACCATCTTCTTATTGCTGATATACCTATTTTTTAACAGTCTTCATAACCTTTCTAAATTCAAGGTGACATAAAACTTGTAAATAGCACACAATCTCTGCTGCTGAGTCTGAACAGTATTGAATAAATCTGCCAAGGCAATATGTCCTATGGTTTTCTATTTTTGTATAAGAAGTTAAGGAGTTTAAGCCTTTGCAGAGAAGAGCCATCACTGAAGGAGGGCGATAGGGGGAATCTTTGTTAAAACTTGAGTGTTAACAGAAAATGGGATGCCACAGAGAATTTGATACAGCTTTATGGTGCTGGGTAAGAGAAGCATTTAAATATACATTTCTAATGTGATAGGAGACAGTAATTGCCAAAGGGAATATTCATCTCATTTTTTCCTGCATTTGAGGATGAACAACAATCACCTTCTCTGTAGGGGAAAATATTGTTAAGCAATTGAAGTGGCATATATGCAAAGTAGAACTGAGAACAGCACATTTGTACATTGAAATAATCCAGGACTTCCATTTGTTACAAAACCGAACATGGAAGTATCGGGGGGGGGGTGTCTCCTAAATTTATTAGCTGACTCTCAGGAAAGCTTCACACATTGTGGTTTCTAAACACAGGAAGATCCCCACAGGACACTTGGTGTCACTTGGAAGTATTTGTTACTCAGAAAAATAAGGATTTGTGAATCTGCTTCCCAGCAGATCTGACGATGCTGTCCTATTTTGTAAAGCAAGAAGAAGATAGCCACTTGATATAGCAGCATGTCATCTGCATTAATTCCTGACTGGACAAATCTAGTCAGATGTAATGCAGACATATAGCAAGGAACCAATGGCCAAAGATGGGTAATTCTCAGAATATCTCAGTTCCCAGAGTATCCCATCCAGCACAGGTTGGAGTATTTTAGGAGTTACAATCAAAAAAATAACTTCTGTCACATTTGCTAATAGACATATTCCAAAAACTTGATATGCAAAAATGTCCCAATTTCTGTAAGGCTGAGGAGCTAAGTGCCATATTTATCTCTTTCAATTCCTGGGGTACATCCTGTCTCCCTTTGCAGCTATGCTGATGAAATCTCATCAGTGCAGCTTCATAAATCCCAAAAGCGAATCCAGGTTTTATAGCAACTGACTGCTAACCTGTACATCCTAAAATTATTGTTGAGGTTATAAAGAAAACAGTGAAGGCATAAATATATTTAAGGAGTGAATGCAACCGATACACTGTAACTGTAAAGTTAGACTAAACAGGGGGAGGATATTGGTTACTGGAGCCTTACATGTAGGAAGAGAAAGAGAAAACATGAAACATGCAATAAAGGGCAATTACAAAGCAGGATGGGGAGTAAAAGGTAAAGAAAAATGAAAGCCAAGTCAGATGATCAATATATTTGCAAATGGTGACAATCCAAAGAATCGATTTTTAAATGCCAGTGTCTTATTGCCGATTTATATTTGCATAAGGAAAATTGTGTTAGTCTTGAGGACAATTTACCACTTGGTAATAAGATGTGCATTGCGTTCCCGGATACATGCTCAATTGAGCAACCACACTCAGCCTGAAGAGCAGCAGTTGGCTATCAAGGCTTGATGCAGTTTCCATGACACAAGTGTAAACCAACAGCTGGTTTCTGACCATTATTTTGCATTGGCTGTACTCTGTTGTTTGTCCTAATTCTGCAAAATTAGGCTTCCAGCGTGCTAGTTACTTCTTGCAGAATTAGACTTCCAAATCATTCTTAGATTTTTCCATATCTTTATATAATTGAATTAACCTAAATCATTGCTTTAACATTTTAGGCTCAATATCTTTTCTGGCAGCACTTCACTAGTACAAGGTAGATTTTACAGTGCAGAAGATCCCATATCCCAAAAGTCACAGCATTGAGGAAACACAGCTTCATTCTTTGGTGCAGTAAACTTACAGCACAAGAACTGATTATTTGTTCCTTGTACCAGTTTTCCCCCAGGTCACTGCAATCATATCCATTAATAATTTGTTCAATTTCCCCCATAATATAGGTTTAGATTGCACATCTGAAGCTCATTACACATTGGAAGAAATCAGAAGTGTGGGGACAAGACTAGAAGGAACTGTTTTGAAAAACGGGTGCTGCTTGATCCAAAGATTTCATGTTGGTTGGAATGCATGTTTTAAGGAACATTCATTTGTATTTGTTTCAGTGTATTGGCCCTAATGTCTGTCATTAAGTTGTGTAGTATAGGGAGTGTTCTTTATAAACCAACAAGATAGTCTCAATTTTAAAACTGTGTACCATTTAGGTATTACATCTTGCCTTCCTAGCGTTCTTTTAGAAAGCCAAGTTTGGCTTATCCCCATCTACTCCTTTCCTTTCCCTCTCAGCACAGAATCTTAGTTAAAAATGTCCATGCCATCTCAAACTATCATCCTTATAATCCGACAATAGTAGATTTCAGCTCTGAGTAATGAATTATATTAGGAGCTGTACAGAAGCATTCAGTGGCAGTGATAGCCGACTCACTACAAGCAAAGAAAAAACTCAGCCCTGGGGATAAGTGAATTTGGCTGCAAGATTTCCTGTGTGCTGCCCTGGTAAAGGATTTATGCCAGATAAAGCTTTAAAGTTTTTGACATTTGCTCCATCATGTGACAATGAGCACATTTATTTTTGAAATGTCCTATTACTTGAATTAGAGATGCGTGCAAAGCAGGGAAGCTCTTGGTGAGACTTTGATTTTCAGTGTTTGAAATTATTTTGCTATTTTCCTACCAACTTTTTAAAAAAAGGCTTTGTAAATGTTTGCTGTTTTATCACTTATGCTGTGCTCTGAAGATGTGAATAAAACATGTTGTTTCAAAGTGACAGTTTTGACTAGGTTTGCTATGTGAACTTCTCTTGTCTTTCTTTTTCTAGACCCAGGGATTTTTGTGTGCAAAGAAATTTGCTCTTTTGCCTTGTGTTATTTTCCTCTCATGTTAGATTCAAAAGGTACAAGTGTTCCTAGACAGAGAAGACAGTGTTGTACCTGCCTGCGGTTATGAGAATGAAGGAAGTGGCAAACCTAATCCAGCACTAACATGGCTTGAATACGCAGGGATTCAGAATGGTTTCAGTTTTTCCCATATTCAGTTTTAATTCTCATAGCAAGTATGAAGAAATGAATTACTCATCTCTTTCACTATTAACTACACAGTGCAGCTTTTCTTCCGTTGGACAATAGGTATAGTTGTGGTTTGCTTAAATGAAGGGTGGGGGACTTACAGGGCATCTCCCTGAGCCCATCATCCCATTCTAAGTAGGACTGTGGTTCCCCAGCATACTTACAATGGCACCCAACATACCTTCCAAAACTGAAAATAGCAGAATATCGTAACAAGGGTAACTACCTTCATATCCTCCATTTTAATAATTACCAACATAGGCTTGTTTCTATATGCTATTCCTTCCCCACCTTTTTCTCTCTTCAGTTACCTATTATTTGCTGATTCAATCTCCAGGACAGTGTGACTCATTTTAAGACCAAAAAGAAAAAAAAAATGCTGTCATCTTACAAGTACATTATTAAAAGTGCACATCAAGAATAGTGGTGTTTGGAATGGCAGATGGTACACTACATGGCCCGGGGATGCTAGTGAGTCCTTAAAGCATGACAAAACTACTCATCACTCCCCTTACAAGGCACTAAGAGACGTTCTGAGGTTTTGCAGGGCTCGAGGGACTACGTGTCCATATAAAAATGGTGGGTTACCTTTATTTAGTCCACATTATCTCCCAAGTGCCCTCATTGCTAGCATGCAGCCCACAATGTGTTAGCGATGACACAAATAACCCATTTGCACAGACCTTTCGCCTCCCTCTCTTTCCCACTGCGTAAGCAGCAGCACAAAAGAAGCTGCTTTTCCAGGAATTGATCCTGCCTAGTACTTAGAGGGATTTGGTTTAGATTATACCTGAGTAGCCCAGTGGTTTTTCCTACTCTCTTCAGTTTAAGCTTGAATTTTGCTATGAGAAGCTGATGATCAGAGCCACAATCAGCTCCAGGTCTTATTTTTGCTGACTGTATAGAGCTTCTCCATCTTTGGCTGCAGAGAATATAATCAATCTGATTATGGTATTGCCCATCTGGTGATTTCCATGTGTAGAGTCGCCTCTTGTGTTGTTGGAAAAGAGTGTTAGTGATGACCAGCTTGTTCTCTTGACAAAACTCTATTACCCTTTGCCCTACTTCATTTTGAACTCCCAAGCCAAACTTTCCTGTTGTT